CCTTCCTTGGTGATGGTGGGGGGGAGAGGGAGAGGCAGGAGCCCCCCCCCCGTTCCCACAGTTTTGGGGGGGGGGGTGGGCCGCCGCCCGCGAGCCGAGCAGACACTGGGAGGTGGGCGGAGCTCGACTCGGCTTCCCTTTTCGCTCCGGCCGGGCGACTTACAGACTGCGCGGCCGCTGTGTGGGAATCTGCCCGCAAGGTTTCCAACGGGGCATGGCGATGACAGCGCTCCCCGCGTCGTCTCTCCTCTTCCCGGGGCCCTCCTGAGGGGAGTCCTCGGCCCTCCGCGCTGCCCCCTGGAAGGGCCTCTTTAACCGGCCTGGCTTAAGGTAAAAGGGGAGGCTGAGGTGAGGTGGTCGGGCCTGGCGAGCGCAGCGAAGGGCGAAGCGTTCCCTGCGTGGCGGGGTAACAAGTGATGAGGCGCTTATTGGTTTTTGAAGCTGGGTGGAAATAAAAATACCATGAGTACAAAGAGCTTAAATCGGGTTTTAGAGGTATTTGACAGAAATGGTATTGAAGTCGAAGAAATCATACTGATTTCAGTGGGGCCGCTTCAGTCTGGTGTCTTTCGGGGCTGTTGGACTGCAACTTCTATCGTTCTAAAGAATGGCGAATATTTTATTTATTTATTGTTACTCATTAGATTTATCTTCTTTTTGCTTCCAGAGCTCAAACCAGCCTATATAATAATCCAATTTTACCTTCCTGGAGACAGTCCTGTGGGATAAATTGGGTTGCAGGATTGGCTCAGTGCCATCCTCTGGGCTTTTATGGCTGAATGCAAATTTTGCTCTTTCTTTCTTGCAGTAGCCCTTTCATCTTTGCATAACTGGAACAACCTAATTATGTTGTAAATCCTATATTTTCTGACCAGTTTGGTCACGCAGTGCTAATTGAATGGTGAACATTGTAGCTCAATACATCTAAACTGACTCAGATTGATCTGTTTGGGCTGATCTACCTATTAAGCCTGGTTTCATTCATCATCACTGTGGCTTTTAATATGAGATTGGGTGTGGGGGGGGTTGTGTACCAATGCTTTGTATTGTTGGAGATGAGGATCCAATTGATCATACCACAATCTGAGATGTCAGCCCACTCATCCGTGGCTTCATGCAGGAAGCAAAGGAGTCAGTCAGTCTACCTGTCAGCAGTTGCAATGGTGGACATGCTAAGTTTGCAGCTTGCAGTACTAAAAGCAGTTAAGGAATTAATCAAATGGAAGAATATTGCAAACTCTCCTTCCAGGGTGAGGTATAGCACACTAGAATACATTTTTAAAAGCTTTCTTATGTGAAAGAATGAAAGGAAAAGGATTTTTCAGAACCAGGAAGAAACCCAATTTATTTCGTACTTGCAGTGAGCATTTGCCAAGCTGAAATGAAATAATGCTTCCTGGAATGATAAATAGGGAGAAAAAGGAATAACTGTGTAATGCTTCCATTGGTAATACGAGATGCTGCCCCTGGAATGACATGAGACAGGGACCCTTATAAGTTTCAACTGAAAGAAATACCCACAAATGTTTTATAACTATCAGGCAGCAGCTGTTACAATGCAGTTATGTGAACGTTCTGTTAAATGCTGTGGTATAAACATTCATTTCATTTGTGCCTCTCTGCTGCTGTTGCTCTTTATCTGTAGGAGACAAAAGATGTAGACGGTTTTTAAATCCATCAATGCCCTTGCAAAAAAGTGACTTTTAAAAAAAATTTTCCTCTATTTTTTATTATAACTGAAGAGAGGTATACCTGATCAATAGATTTAATTCTTCAGGCTTCATCTCTTTTCCAGTGGGATCATAAACATATAGGAATTTTCTCCTCTATGTATATATATATATTGTACCCTTTATTTCTGAATATAAATGTATTTTGTTTATATTGCATTTGTTTGGGGGGGGTGGAACTTAATCTAGCCCATCCTTTCCCCTTGCTGTCACTAAAGAACTATAGCCCTGATTAATTAATGGTTACTCTGTTTCATTACTGTATGTATTTTTCCTGTGTTCATTTAAGTGTAACTTAGAATAAAATAATCGTTCCTCTCTCTCCTCAGGAAATGGCCTCTCCAAAATCCTTACTAAATTTTCTGACCTTCACTTTTGGATCAGCAATTGGTTTTTTCCTATGTTACTTGCTATTTAATTTAGTATTAGAAGAACAAATCAAGGTTGAGCCTCATATTCTTCACAATGATCCTCATGGCCATCATAAAGATAGTGATGAAAACCACAACCTGAAAGGACAAATGAATTTCAATGCAGATGCTGGGCAACATAAAGGTATATATGTGTTCTATCTGGGGCAGTTTTTCATTTTTCCACAGACTCAGCGGCATTCCAGGCATCTCTTCTGTCCTTTAATCTCTTGAGTTTTTCAGAAAACTAGGGAGCCCCTGGGATCTGCAAACAGGAAGAGGCTTCACAGATGCAATCCAGTCCAAGGCCATCATCGCCCTTTCATTCCATGTGGTGACTAAGGCCTCAGTTGAACTGTGCAGCAAAGCCTCAGGGAATTCCCCAAGTTTCCTCTGAAACCCACTTATGTTGATTAGGCGCCTAGGACAAATCATTTGAATAGGTCCTAATTTCTTGTGATATGGACCAGCACGAGAGGAATCCAGAGTAATCATTTACTGATCTGACCTTGATAAGGAATGGATGTTAACATGCTCTGAATTCAAATCATGTAGTCACTGCCCAGAGACACCCCCCCCAAAATATGTAATAATGTGTGTCAGCCCCTTGATGACTTCAGTCCAGTCCATGTTTGCCATGGTGGCCATGAATTTCTAAGCTGCTTTGAACACTGTACCCACGGTGGAAGGTTGAAGTCCCCCAACATCATAAGCCTGAGAAATTCCACTACCAAGCCTGGCACAGAATTGAGCAGCTCAGGCAGAGAAGCAACTGCACGGGGAGGCCGGTACAGCAGCAGCAATCTCTTCTGTTCTCTAGAGCCCAGCTTCACAAACAAGATCTCACATTTAGTAATCTCCAGGGCAAGACTTCTGACAGCCACAGGAGTGTCCCACATAACAATAGCCACTCCACCACCCCTGCCCTGGGGTTGTAGCTGAAACCACACCCAAAACTCAGGTGGGCACTTCTCCAAGAGAGAAATGGCCCCCCTCTGTGCCCATCCAAGGCTTGGTTATACTTGCCAGGTCAACTTTCTTATCTATATGAGGCTTTATTATGGACCTATTGCAGATCTAATATTTTAGTGTTAAAACTAGAAACAATTATTGGTTGCTTACTAGTTAATGTCTAGAAATCTGACTTTTTTTTTTCAGCCTAGGATCTCATAAGTGTTATAGTTTGGTTTAGCATTCAAAGTGGAAGGTGCTAGTACTCATATTTAAGCATTAATGCAGAATTTCAGTGCAATTTCCCTTTTATTAAGAATTGCTATATCAGTTTTTTTGCATTATTATGGTATCAGCATTGTTTTTTTAATCTCAGAATTGTTTATGTTACTGATTTTTGTGAAGGTTAAACTTAATAACAGTTTGGACTATCTCCTCCTACCTCCTTCAGATGAAAATAAAAATGTTGCTGAAGAATTGTACCGGAAGGTAAGGATACTTTGTTGGGTGATGACAGGTCCCCAGAATCTGGAAACAAAAGCCAAACATGTCAAAGCTACTTGGGCGCAGCATTGCAACAAAATACTGTTTATGAGCTCTGAGGAAAACAAGAACTTTCCAACAGTGGGATTAGAAACCAAAGAAGGCAGGGACCAGTTATACTGGAAAACCATTAAAGCTTTCCAGTATGTACATGAACATCATTTTGATGAAGCAGATTGGTTCATGAAGGCAGATGATGACACTTACGTTGCACTGGACAACTTGAGATGGCTACTTTCAAAATACAGCCCTGAAAGACCTATTTATTTTGGACGAAGATTTAAGCCTTTTGTGAAACAGGGCTATATGAGTGGTGGGGCAGGATATGTGCTTAGCAAAGAAGCTCTGAAAAGATTTGTGGATGCCTTCAAAAATAACAAATGTACTCATAGCTCTTCCATTGAAGACTTGGCATTGGGCAAGTGCATGGAGAGCATTAATGTTGAAGCTGGAGATTCTCGGGATACAAGTGGCAAGGAAACCTTCCATCCATTTGTGCCAGAACATCATTTAATCAAAGCATACCTTCCCAAAAATTTTTGGTACTGGAATTATAACTATTACCCTGCTGTAGAGGTAAGTTTTATTTTGTTGCAAGATAAGGGTGGGGGGTTGTAAAATCTAACATGACTTTTCGGAAATCTTTTACCTTTGTTGAACATCTATAGCTGCTTTTTTGCTGTCAGGTGCAGGATCGATCTAGTCCAGGATACCTGCTTACCATGGCTTCAGGCAAAAAATTTGCTAATTGACATCTCAGACTTTTAAAAAATGGGAGATGTATGGAACTTTATTCATGGAAACTCCCCTCACCACCCCCACTAAACTTAATAGTCCCTCCTAGGAATACTCCAGGGAGCATAAATTTGTGGAAGAGATTGAAATAGTACTTTCTCTACCTCCCAGAAGTGAATCTATGACACTGTTACAAAGCAATTGTATAACATTCATATTCAGAGACCATTTATGAAACTAATATTCTCAGAACCAAAATGTTTCTGCTTTTTGTAAACAAAGAGCTGAGCCATCTTGATTGAGGTTAAAGTCACATGATCTGCATTTAATTAACTGCAAAACATGACAGGTTTCTTTCTTGCCTTTTGACTTTGCTTTTTTCTTTTTCTGTAGGGCCCTGGTTGCTGTTCTGATCTAGCAGTTTCTTTTCATTATGTAGATGCTACTACTATGTATCATTTGGAATATTTGATTTATCATCTCCGCCCTTATGGTTATCAATTCAGATATAATCCTGACGTCCCTAAGGATCCAGAAAAACAAAATTTAAGTGAGGCCACAAAAGGTGGTGCAAAATTCAAAGGTGAAGAAGAAAATCCTCCAAAAGCTTCTAAATAAGCCTTATGGAATGCTATACCAACATGCTCAGCTCACAATGGTGAGATGTTCCTTTGCATCCTCTTCTAATACGCTGGTACAAAGATGTTTTTCCATGTGCCAGGAGACTGCATGCTGTAGTTCTGTCAAAGCTCCTTTGATTTACTGATCCATGGACTCAATCTTACATTGAAACAAATACTTTAGTTCATATTCACACATAGATCTTCAGCATTTTCATCCTTTTTTTTTTATTATGATTCAAAGGTTTTGTTAGATAATTTCTTGAAAAAACTTCAATTTATTAGACCGGAAACTGATGTTTTGCAAGAGATTCAAGTTTGTATATGAAGAAAAC